TTGATTCAAGTTTGTAACTTTCAATCAAAATAATGTCCCTTAAGTTCTTTGTTCTCATCCTCTAAATGTCTTTCTGCAGCTTCCCACAGAGTGCTGGATTTCCCTTTGTGAGATTCAGTGTCTCACCAATCACGCTGTCTCTTCACTTTCCATAAATCTCTCCTTTTAATTTTGAGCAGATTCTGCCTTGTTACTCTACGACACCGTGACGGTCTCTCTCCTGAACTCCTTATTCTGTCTCCTAAAGCCACTGTTTTCCATTAGCAGATGCCTAACCTTAAAATTTCTCTCCTCCATAATAAACAGCTTCAGTTCCTTCCACCATTTACCATGGGCTATATCTAGATTCTTTGGCATTATAGTCATCTTCCTTTGGATAAAGGCTGTTTCTCCTTAGAATTCTTTTGACAGAAAGCACCCAGATAAACACAGGGTTCTGGAAATTCCAGCTGGGAGGCCTCACTCTTGTACCTCTTTTCCCTTCCTGTTGGGGCTTTTGCCCTCCAGGCTCCCATCACCCTCACTCAGACACCTGTCATCTGAAGGCCCTTGATGCCTCAGCTCTAATTGCTCCGCCCCTCTTCTGATGTCTATAGAACACACCCACTCCAAGGAGGACTGCAAATGCCAAGACAGTGTCCAGTCCACAACCAGCCTCAGCTCTCAGCTCTGTCATCCTGACCCATCCATACACTGCATCTCCACTTCTCCCTCCCTGGCCCCAGTACTGCCTGTACTGGACTTCCGGGCCTGGCTCAGGAGAGCTCTTCTCAGATCCAGATGTTGCTTCTCATGGTACTCTTACTCCTTGTCTTCTTGCTCCTAAGTAGACTCTAAACTCCTGAAGACAAAGGCAGTATTGGACTTCTGCTCATGCGCCACATAGCACCTAGTATGGTGCCTGAAAATAGCTCTCAGTGGGTAACTGTGGGAGGAGTAAGTAATGAAGGGACACCCTGATTTGGGGCACTATTTTCTTTGGCAGCCATGACTCCAATTTGGTATATTCTGAATCAGTGGTAGAAAAAAAAAATTGTGTCTGCTCTTTAATCATGTCTTTCCCACTCCCTTTCATCATGTGATTTTTTTTGAATGTTAATACAGGGTTTCATATACCCACTCCTCACTTATTGACATGATTAGGTTCCAAAGACCAGGCTGTTACACAAAAATCAGCATTATGTGAAAACGGAGGATGACTACATCAGATCACAAAATGGAAGATGATTATGTCTTTACATAACTAGTAAACCACTGAGAATCACAGTTTAGTTGATACATAACCTTAACCATCACAGCCAGCGTCACTATTGCTTCATACCGCAGAATTCATTACTGCTAGACCTACATCATGAATGTGCAAAATAGTTGGGTAGTATAGTTTTTTACTGTTGTTGTAAATGTGAAATGTCAGATAACAAGACACTGGATAAGTGAGAAGCAGGCAGGAGTACTTCACCACTACCAGAAGTGTGTTAAGTTCTCAAGTGCCTAATGGTAAAATTCTAGAGTTGAAAGGACCAGGAAGGTCAGTTAATCTAGCCCATCACTCACCTCTAAGGGGCCCTCCAGCTCGGCTTAGACAGACCTGACAGTGAATTCACCAGTTCCATGATGACCCAAACCCCTGCAGAGTCCAGTGGGGAAGCGTGGCCTGGAGCAGGTGCTTCCCCAAGGACAGTCTCCCAATCAGTCAGAGGTGGCTCCTTTTAAGTGTCTGCACCCATGTTGGGAAAACTTGGTGTCATGTAAGTGACATTTCATTACTAAATCCTTCATATGAAGTCCAATTCTATCTTCTTATTTTGTCCACTTACCAGTCCTGCTTTTTAGAAACTAGAGAATAAACACCACTGTTTATATATTAACCACTTAAATAGCTGAAAGCAGATGTAAAAGGAACACTGTTGGTACCTCTCAGACACAATAAAATGATGGCGAGGATCCAGACACTCACGTGCTCCTGAGCTCTCGGTCAGGAAGGACGTAACTCACACTCTAACTGAAGGTGACCAGGAAATGTACAGAAACAATTAAGAAAAACAAAACCACCACCAAGGTTTCCAACTATGACTGTGTTTGTCATAAAAGCTCTTTGGTACCCCTGGTAAAACTGCGACCACTGTAGACAGTGCTGTGTAAAGCCTTAATCACGTAGATAGTTAGAAAGTGTCCACTTGAGGCTTTAACACAGCACATACAGATATAGAAGGGCTGCCTCCACTGCACTGCAAACCAAGGGGAAGCAATTCCAAAAGTTTACTGAATATTAGCCTGTTTGCTGTAAGCCTCTGATGTACGTGGTTCAAGACACTGACTTGCAATGTTGACTTTTCCAATTATTCCTGATGCACAAATAATTTCTTTTAGAAGGATCAGTACAAGGCTGGTCCCCGTGGCGTAGAGGTTAAAGACGTCCCAAACGCCCACTTTTCCAAACCACTGTACCACTCCATCCTCCGACATCAACTCCTCCCTGCCCCAGCACTCTCATTCCTGTCGCAGGGTTCCGCAGTTCACTGTAACGTCTCACAGAACTCACAAACTGCCAGGGAACGGCTCACAGGGTGGTGGAGGCTGGCAAGTACCAAGTCTGTGGGTCAGGGGTAGGTCTGCTGGCTTCTCCTCCCTCACGTGGATGCAGGGGCTGATGACCCCAATCGGCAGGTCAGACGACTGGCTGCCGCCTCAAGTCCCAAGAACTGAGGAGGAGATGACGATGAAGCAGATGCAGGATCCAAGCAAGGAAGTGAACTTGGCCTGCACGCTCACATATACACCCTCAAAGAAGCTAAGAGTGGTGACCTGCGTCACACCCTGCAGCAAGGCAGGACGTAAGATACGTCATTCCCTGAACAGGAATACGGGCTAGAATTTACAGCGTATCACAAGATGGAGGGCTATGGCTAGAAGGGCCATAGGAAGCAAGTCACTGCATTGCACCTAAGTGCTCACACGTTGAGGTGTTTCTGCCACACCTTCTGGAAATCCATGTGACAGAAAAACACGATGTGGCAGAACTACACGCCTGCTCTTTCCACTGTTCCCAGCACCAGGGGCTGCAAAGGATTCCTAACTCACACAACTGGAAAATGACTCACCACAAGGTCAGTTGGACTGAAGGTCTGAGCACCAGGACGGCCATCTTTTTGTGGACCCGCCTGTGGTCTCCACACACCCTCTCGTGTTTTGGAAACAGCAGCCTCTTCTCTCAGGCCATCATTCCTCCCTCAATTCCACCAGGTGGTGCCAGGAAGAGTGTCACTCCTGGGCTCCACATACTCCAAGCAGGCTAGAGTCCTGCCCTGGACTTTTCAAACCGAAGTTACAGGTGCTCTCTCTCAAGTAGAAAGACAGTAAAAACAGAAGCCTGAGCACGTCTTATGGTGCGACTGAATCAAGCAGAGACGGACCCACTAGGTCCAAGGCCCTCAGAACTAGCTGGTCTCTCTGCCTTCCCTGGGGTTGGTTGCTTGACGCTTTCGTTCTGTGAGCTAGCCCAGAATCTTTCACTAAGTATCATTTATTGGGCTGACACAAGTCACTGGCAGTGACAAGAGTTCAGGCAGCTAATACAACAGACAGCCTGGAGGATTTGGTCTAGAATTTTGGCTAGCTTCCACTTGATCCAATTAACACTCACTGAGCACCAAAGATGAGGCAGCTGGATTCGGTGTAGACTGACTGCCTCAGAAACCCTATGGTGCAATTCTACTCTGTGTCTCTAGAGGCACTGTGAGTTAAGATGACTCGTTGGCAGTGGGTTTGGTGTTTTGTTTTGTTTTTTTTTTTTAATGTGACAGACATGGTCTTGACCCTCTTATAACCAGAGATTTAAAGAATACAAACGAGAGAACTAGATGGAGTCCTACAAATCAGCAGTATCTGACATCTTAGGAAACAAGAATGAAGATTATAATGATCCTAACCAAAACTAGAGATCTGGTAGCACAGTGCCTAAGGCACTTGACTGCTAACCAGAAGGCTGGTGGTTCAAACCCACCAGCCACTCCTTGGAAGGAAGATGGGGCAATCTACTTCTGTAGTGATACTGCCTTGGCAACCCAAGGAGGGGTCGCTATGAGTCGGGTCCGACCTGATGGCACATAACCACCACCACCAAAACTAGATTTTAAAATAACAACTAAAAACCTAGGCATTTTTAGTGACTAACTAGGAATAAGAAAATATAGAGAGTGATGAAACATCAGAGACATGAAAACTAAAATAAGTTACCACCTCAATAGCAGTGGGAATATGACAATTATTGTCATTTTAAAGAGCAAAGAGTACACTCAACTACAGTTATTACTGGCAATAAGACAGCATCCAAGAGTTGGGAGTATATGGGAAACCAACTAAAAATCTTAAGTCCCACTGACCGAGAAGGCTAGGCGGTAAAGACCACTGAAAGGAAGGAAGCTTCTTCTTGCCCAGCTGGGTTTCCTAACACCCAGTTCTAGGACAGACCCTGGGAGAATTGGATTTTCACTGATGATGGGACATTCCAATCAGGATCCAAGATAGTTGGCAACCCAGCCACCCGCCCTCCATTTTGACTGGATGTTAACAGTAGAGAAGGGCTTGGCTCACGTCTCAGTTCAGAAGCCCTGTAAATACTCCAGTGTCCCCAAAAGAACTGAACGCTAGAGTCTCAGGATCAGGGCCAGTGAGGAAGGCTATGTTCCCTGATGCTGACAGGGCAGACAGACCACTTGTGGGCAGCTGGGGATGAATAGGCCTTTCACCCCCTTCTTCTCTCCAGTCTCTTCTTAGAGAGACGCAGGTAGCAACAAAGGAGAGCTTTATCACCACGAGCCCGTTCAGCAGCTGTTTCCTTGGTGTCCCTTGTTTAACTTCTCTCAAGAGAGCAGAGTTATCGACCCAGCTAAGCAGGTGTTTAAGGCAGGTGATTTTGTTTCCATTAATTTTCTTAAGTAACAGTACACCAACTAGAGAGTTATCTGGTGTCCTCACGGGAAACCTTAACCCTGCGCCTGCTACACCACAACCGTGTGGGTGCTGTGGCAGAAGGTGGGAAGCTGCCCCCGTTGGGCCTACCATTTCACTCTCTAATTGCAGTTTTAAGTGGGGTTTGAGAGCCACGGTCCATCCCAACCTCCTGACATCTGGGTGTGTCTTCTTTAGGAGTGTATGAGATGCAAAGTGAAGTCAGAGGCTTTAAGGTTCTCAGGAAAAACGTGATTCAGAAAAACACTGCTCTCTGTCTCAAAGCCCACCTCAATCACCACAGGAATGACTGCACTCAGTTTCACATTCCAAGTTCCTATGGGGGGAGTCTAACATAAAACATGGAAACAAAATATTTTAATTAAACTGAATCGATTTTTCAATGTTAAGCTCGAGGCCTCCTGAAACCATCGATGAAAGCTCCAGCTCTGGGTATTGATCTTCTGGTGACGGCCTCGATTCTGAAAAGGCCCCCAGCCTGTGCACCCTGCACTACCTCTGTGTCACCAGGTACAACACGAACTTGTCTAGTCCTCCCATCCATCCTCAGTTGGAGGCAGCCCCTGCTTACTGGTGGGTCGAGGAGAAACCCCCTACTTGTCCACACTGGACAAAATGCCCGGCCCTTGATTACCTTCCATTTTCTCCAGCTGTTGAGTCTTTATCACCAGGGGCAAACATTCGGTGGCACATTTCTTTCTCTTTATCCATGTAGTCCTTGTAGTAGCTGTAGAGAGAATGACACATTACAGAAGGTCTGTGTTTGCAGGAGGCGACATCTGGTGGCTGGAATTCTCCACTCAGGTCCAGAAATACTGAAAATTCAACAGGCCTTAAAATGAATCAGGAGGCGTAAAGCAATACTAGAGAGGTACAGTAGGCAGGAGAGGCCCCCGGGCTGCGCAGGAAGCTCTCGGGCGGGAAGTCCGCGGTCCACAATGACGGCTGTCTTGAAGAGCGAGAGCCACAGCAAGGGAAGCTGCCAGGCTGAGTTCCCCAAGTGACCCTTCACTCAGTGCTCTCCAATTTACCCGAGGGTCTCTTGCTACAGAACTGTCAGATCTCGCGACGACAATAATAAAAAGACACACAACCCAGTCAAGAAAAGGGCGAAGGACCTAAACAAACATTTCTCCAAACACAACATACAAATGGCCAATAAGCACATGAAAAGATGTCCAAAGACATTGGTTATTAGGAATATTCAATTAAAACCATTATGAGCTATCACTTGACATCCACTGTGATGGCTGATTGAAAAAATGAAAAACAACGGGTCCTGGGGAGGATGTGGGGAAACAAGAAACCTCATCCATTGCTGGTGGGCTTGTAAATAGTGCAGCCGCTGTGGAGAAGTCTGATGGGTCCTCAGAAAGTTGTAAGACACAGAGTCACTCAATCACCGTATGGTCCAGCAATTCCACTGCTGTATTTACACTCAGGATGCCTGAAAGCAGGGACTCCAAACAGGGACCTGCACACCAATGCTCCCTGCAGCATTTTTCCCAACAGCCAAAAGGTGGGAACAACCAGGTGCCCATCAACAGATGAATGGATAAACAAAATGTGGTGCATCCATCCAACGGACTATTCAGCCGGAAAAGGAAATGAAGTTCTGCTACATGCTAGGACATGGATGAACCTTAAAAACATCATGCTGAGTGAAATCACTCAGGCATGAAAGGATACCTTTCATAGAGTCCCACTTACACGAAATGCACAAAACAGGCAAACGCAGAGACACAAAAGTCCGTTAGTGGTTATGGGAGCAGCGGGGAGAATGGGAGTCAAAGGGAAACTGAGTTTCTGTTTGAGGAGAAAGAAAACTTCTGGAAATGTGTAAGGGTGATGGCTGCACAACACAGTAAATGTACTTAATACCAGTGAATTATACACATAATAAAAATGGTTAAAATGACTTTTTTTTTTTTAATTGTGATTTGGGTGAAAGCTTACAGAGCAAATTCACTTTCCATACAGCAGTTCACACACACTTTGTCTCATGACACTGACCACAATTCACCACAATGCACAGCTCCCCTCCCACTTCCTCCCGATAATCACCTCTTTCCTGTGTCCATCCCTCCATGTACTCCTGCCCCCTGAGCTGTCTCCCTGTGCATAAGCAGCCCTTCTCTCTCCCATGATTGTTCTCTCCAAGGAGTGTATCTATCTCAGGTAAATGTTCAATTCATATGCCTGTATTTTGTTTGGCTGGAAGCCACAGGTATGGGTTCAATTCCAGACCTGAAGGGCAGCTAGGAGCCATAGTCTCAGTGGTTCCACCAGGCTCTATTAGACCAGCAAACCTGGTCCCCCCCCCCTTTTTTTTTCCCAAATGATTTTGAGTTTTGTTCCACATTGTTCTCCTTCTCTATCCCGGATCTCCTACATAGATCCCCCTCTGGCAGTGGTAGTTGGGTACCATCTAGTTCTTCTGGTCTCATAGTTGTACAGGCAGCGGATCACATGGTGTACCAGAAAATGACAAACTTTTGATACATGCATTGTACACCAATTAAATAAAACAAAGACTGGTCGGATCCATTTCCATATATCACCTGAGAGGATGCGTTTACATACATGAAAGCAAACTGCTGGAAACTCCTAAAATGTCTGAAATCTAACAACTGGATTCAAATCTAAGAGGTACACACACCTCTTTCAATGTGAGGAAAGCTCTCCCTGGCACTCTGGGCTACACAGTTAATGTGAAGAAGACAATCTCACCAACAAAGAACAACAAAAATATGCCAAAACAACCCAACAACAATGGCTACATCACTAGGTGCAGAAATATTATAGTTGGTTCTTATTTATATGTTGATAATTCAAAGTTTTCTACAAGGAACCTAAAATTTCTATAATCATAAAAATCACCTTTCTGAAAAAACAGTATAGGTTTCACTCACATAATAAGAAAATCACCCTGCAGCTATAATCAGACCTGAAAGATCCATTTCCGACTAAACCAGGGTGTATTTGTGAGACATCTTTCTCTGGTCACTTGATAATACCTGTTGGTGGCAGGTAAGAAAGAGCATCTGAGCAACAAGACACCTGAACACAATCACATCAGCTCATCTCACCAGGTGCATTAATTCTGGGTGAACCCACTGCCATCGAGTCTACTCTAAAATTCATAGCAACCCTATAGTAGACAAGAGAACTGCCCTCATAGGGTTTCCAAGCTGTAAATCTTTACAGAAAGCAGACAGACTCATCTTCCTCCCAGGGAGTGGCTGGTGGGCTCAAACCACCAACCTTTTGGTTAGCAGCCAGATGCTTTAACCACCACACCACTGGAACTCACCAGATTGCTTTAGTTTGGTTAGTCTACCTCCCCGCTGGGAACTCTGGTTTAGAGTACTGAAGACTTCATAAAACCGGCTCTAGGTGGCACCGTCTCACAGTACGTTCCCCCAGGCGGACAGACCAGCCAGCGCGCCTCACCTGGCCAGCTTCTTCAGCTCCTTATTGATGTCATGATTGAAGGGCTGCTCCATCTGAGCGCGGACCAGGAAATCCCGGGCCTTCTGATACTCGGTCATGAGGAGACAAGCCTGCCAGGAGGGACGGAGCGTCAAACGCACGCTAGGGGGACGGCGTGTCTGCAGTTTCTGCTAACCCGAGCTGAGCACCACTGCTCCCTTCTTGAGGAGTGTTTGTTCCAAGGTCCCTGCCATCCGCCTCACCTGTCCACACCTGAAGAGAGCCTTGGCATTCTTCTGGTCAATGATCAGAGCCTGCTCTCCATAGCGCAGGGCCATGGTGGGTCGCTCCAGCTTCAGGTACGTGAAGGACAAGTTAAGAAGGACAAGAAGCTTGGCGGCCTCCACCAGGTGCTGCTCTGCTTGGGGTGCTGATCGCCGGTGGAGCAGCAGCAAGGCCTGTGGACAAGAAAGGCCTCTGGTCAGAGGAGGGATGGGATCTGAGATGCAGAACAGAAAACCCTGCAAACCAAAACCAAACTCACTGCCATCGACTCAATTCCAACGCACAGAGACCCCCCACTGGGTTTCCAAGGCTGTCACTCTGTACGGAAGCAGACCGCCCCACCTTTCTCCTGCGGGGCAGCTGGTGGGTTCAAACCACCGACCTCTGGGTTAACTGCCAAATGCCTTCAACACCACACCACCAGAGCTCCTGAAAAAAGCCTACAGCAGCCACAAAAAAACAAGCTACAGACAAACCCATGCATCTGACCTGTCAACTGACTGTGGAACAGGATGCAGAAAATAATCTTTCCAACAAAAGGTGCTAGGACAACTGGAGGGAGCTCTGGTAGCGTAGTGCCTAAAGCACTTGACTGCTAACCAGAAGGCTGGTGGTTCAAACTCACCAGCCACTCCTCAGAAGGAAGATGGGGCAATCTACTTCTGTAGTGATACTGCCTCGGAAACCCAAGGAGGGGTCGCTATGAGTCAGGTCCGACAGGATAGCACGTAACAAAATAACAAAGATAACTGGAAAGTTCAAGTATTGTTACATGCCACAACATGGTGAACCTGCAAACACCATGCTACATACCTGATGACTTAGTGCCTAAGGCATCTGACTGCTAATGAGAAGGCTGACAGTTCAAACCCAGCAGCCACTCCTCCGAAGGAAGACTGGGCAATCTACTTCTGTAGTGATACCCACCTCGGAAACCCAAGGAGGGGTTGCAATGAGTCAGGATCAACTCGACGGCAGTGGGCCTGGGCTTTTGTTTTTTTGGGTTTTACATACCTGATGGCACATAGTTGATGATTCCACTGGTACGAAAGGCCCACAAGAGACAAATCCACAGACAGAGAAAGTCCCAGGGAGATACATCCCCTAGATCCATCAGCCTTGAGACTGGGTGAACGGGGTTTGGAAAGTGGGGGAAATAGTGACTGATGGCTAATCTTTTGGGGGTGAGGAGAATGTTCTGGAATTAGATAGTGGTGATGGTTGACGGTTGCACAACCTTGTGAACAGACTAAAAACCACTGAAGATTCATTTCAAAATGGTCAATTTTATGGTATGTGGGTTATATCTCATCACACACACCCCCAAAAAAAGCAAAGAGGACATAATGAAGGCAAGACCAGCAGAGCGTTGATGTGACTGGACAAGAACAAGTCCCTAGACTCCACGTGGAAGGTGCAGGCTGGGCGGAGAACCGGACAACACGTCTGAGACGGTGGTGCCGGAGGCGGAAAGGCCCGGCCTCTAGAACTTCAAGCAGAAGGCCTGGCTCACAAAGTATCTGTTGAGTGGACTCCCTTCAGGGGATCGGCTCTCAGCCCAACAGGAGAAGGACCCACAAGCAGAACACCTACCCCAGGGAGATGCACCACCCTCCTCAGGGAGACGCATCCCTTAGATCCATTAGCCACGAGGCATCAGAGGGCAGCACTCACGCAGAGGGAAAGCTGGACAGACAAGAACGTATGGACAAGAAAGGCACAGGGAGGAGGCAGTCACAAAGAGGAGAGCAGAGGAGAGTTTTTTATGGTTGGTTGGGGATTGTAATCAGGGCCGTGAAATCAAATGTACATGAACTGTTGAACGTAAAACAAATCTGGTTTTTAAACGTGCACCCGAAGCACAATTTTAAAAAAATTAAGAAAAATTGAAAAATAAAAAAATCTGTTGACAGAAAATTCCTGCCAGCATAACCAACATAAGTAACCAACGGTGCTCCGGAGCCTGGTGAGGACAGAGTCAGCCCTCAGAGCGTTAGACACAGCCTCACCATCAAAGAAACATGGGTAAGACTGTAAGTGGGGCTGAGAGACCAGCTGGGAGAGGCCCTCACACCGGGTTGGGGATTTTCAAAACCTCTGTATCAGAATTTCAAAGACCTTGATTGAAACCTATAGACAGAGACAAACAAAACTCAGTGTGCAGTTCAAGGTATCCTCACCACCTCAACACAGCCATGGAACCCCCATCCAGACGAAACACAGGACATTACCAGGCCCCTGGGACCTCCTGGCACACCCCTCCCTGCCATTATTCCTCTGGCATGAGGAATTTTTAATTCTTAATGGTTGCCCATGTAGAGTAGGGAAAGCAACAAGGTCTGTGTTTTCCAAGAAAGGAAGTTTTCCAGGTGGAACTTTATGCCCAAATCCCAACGGCATCCTGACCTGTTTGTATCTCACTTTGGCATCGTAGAAGCGATTCTGGCGGAAAAGGTAGTTGCCAAACTCTCGCTCAGTAGCTGCCACTTTCAGGACCTTCTGAAGTGGGAACTGGTCTTGTTGCTCCTGAAGACCAAAGAGAAGGATACTCAGCAAGGAACCCAAATGCCACCAAAGCCATGGGGGAAAAGTGCCATGTCAGTTAGTCATTTTCCTCTTGTAGATTCTGAACTGCCACTAGCTGCCTCAGGGAGTGCAGGTGGTGCACCGGGTGAAAGGTCGGCGGCTCAAACCCACCAGCCACTCCATGGGAGAAAGATGAGGCAGTCTGCTTCCATAAAGACTGATAGCCTTAGAGACCCTATGGGGCAGTTCTACTCTGTCCTATAGGGTCACCAGGAGTTGGAATCAACTGAATGGCAGTGGGTCTGGTTTTGGTTGATTGACTGCTCTCCGTGTGCCAAGCACTGTGCTACAAGCCTTACATAGGTCACCTCTGTGAGTCCCGACACAAGCCACCCAACAGCTGCCCTTACTGTTCTGTTGTATAGAGCAGGGCTAGAAGGACATTTCTTTGGTCCTTCGTGAGATGCCCCCTAAGGAAGCAGTCTCCATGGAACTTACAGCTGAGAGGGCGCAAAACTTGTCTGACTCGGCCGAGTCCAGGAAGTCGAGCAGCTCAATCTCAAACAGGACGGTGGAGTTTGGGGGGATCAAGGGTGGGCAGCCCAGCGTGCCGTAGGCGTAGGCTGGTCTGAAGAGAAACCTAGCCAGTTCTCCTCTCCGCATGCTCAGAAGACCCAGCTCCATCCCCCACAGCGTGATATCTGGAAGAAGGGATGAGAAACTCTGCTGACACTTGCCCAGTGTCCTGTCCCAGTGCTACTGATACCTTCCCCCTTCAAGTCCAAACTTCTCCATGTGATATTCCCAGCCTCCCATCTTCCACCTTGCTATCTCCACCTTTCCCAAACTCTAGCATTCCCAGGCACTGCAGCATTTTGGTCTCTAAGTCTTTGCTCGTGCAAGTACTTCTTTCTGCCAAGTCTCGCTCCCCCTACCTTTCCAGCTTCTACTGTGACTAAAATCTTAAATCAAACCTCATTTCAAATGTCCCCTCTTCCAGGAAGCCTTCTCAGATTCACCCAGCCAGAATTATCTGGTGGTGTAGTGGATAAGGCACTTGACTGCTAACAAGAAGGAAGGTCAGCGGTTCAAACCTACCAGCTGCTCCGTGGAAAGAAAATGGGGTGATCTACTTCTGTAAGGACTTACAGCCTCGGACACCCAATAGGGGTCGCTATGAGTCAGAAACAACTGGATGGCAGTGAGTTTGTTTTGTTTTTTTGTTTTCAGGAAGCACTTCCACAACACCGTTCTACCACCCAGTACTCACTGAATTTTATGAATATGTGTCAGTGCCCTCCACCACACTGAAGTCCGTGAGGGCAGAGATAGTCTGCCTCTCTTTGCACAAAGCACAGTGTGTACAACGCATTCTACAGATGTTTACTTAATAAATGAACAAAGAAAAATGGCTAATAATTAAGTCAAGTACAAAGAAAACCTTGCTAGGTAACCCTTCCCTCAAATATCCAGGTCTCAAGCCAGGGAAGGATGTGGGAGAGAACATGGGTGTTGAGCACATCCCAGCCTCAGAAAAACCAACAAAAATGGTCTGAGCTATGAACAGAGTTTTGCATGTCTAAAGGCATTCTCTCATTGTTTCCCCAAGCAAGCCCTTCTTTGCCAGCTCCATAGTGCCTAAGGCACTTGACTGCTAACGAGAAGGCTGGCAGTTCAAACCCACCAGCCACTCCTTGGAAGGAAGATGGGGCAATGTACTTCCGTAGTGATACCGCTTCAGAAACCCAAGGACGGGTTGCAGTGAGTCGGGCCCGACTCGACAGCACACAACAACAAGAAGAAGCAGCTGAACTTGGAGGGGCTGTGGTGGCACTGTGGTTAAAGCATTGGGCTGCTAACCAAAAGGTCAATGGTTTGAACCTACCAGCTATTTTGCAGAAAAAAAGATGAGGCAGTTTGTTTCCGTAAAGATTTCCAGCCTGTGAAACCCTATGGGGCGGTTCTACTGTGCCTACAGGGCTGCTGTGAGTTGGACTAGCTCCGTGGCAGTGGGTTTCTGGAGGCTTAACTTACCCTCTCCCAGTTTCATGAGCCGAGGAGTTTTCCTAAAACAATTAGAATCAAAGGGCTTGTCCATGTGCTCCAGATATCCAGAGTATTTCACTAGAACAAAGGAAGCAGATTCATTGCAAAGGAGAGACCGGGGGCACCCACATCTCTACAACACCACATTTCCTTAACTGTCTCTCTCTCTCACACACACATAGGAAATAAATGATCTTAAATTACTCCACACTCTGAGTTACAGAAGTAATGTTTTCTCAATGTTTTTGGACGCCTGCCCTTTGGCCCTGATGTTCAAGAGCGTGGCTGGCTCCTCTCAAATGTTCTTTGTTCAAAGTGGCATCGGGCAAAGTGGTAATGATTAGCCAGCTTTTCTCTCAGAAATGTGAATTCAAACGAACCATTTTCGATCCTATGTAATACGATGGTTTTTTGGAAATGCAAGCTTCCCTTCCCCCAAAGTAAAGTGCAACGACACGGTTTGCCACCGCAGGTAACACACGGCACTCTGACCCCCACACTGGCTCTCTGCCTGACCCTCACCCACCTAACACGGAAGCGTCAGGGGTCACCAGGTCTCCAGCGCCCTCTTGGAGGACATCCTTCAGCACCCCGCCGTCGCCGGTAATGTCCAACATCCTAAGACTTAGCCTCTGGTACGGAGACTTGCAGAGAATGAAAACAAGATCTGAGCCCCCGGGACTGCACCTGTGACTGTCATGACCCTGGCCGGCAGCCCTGGCGCCCACGCCCCCCGCTCTCACCTGCCCCGGGACCACAGCCCCTTCTTGGACTGCCGGGTTTCAGGCGCTTGCCTCCACCTCGGCGCCCTAGTCAGTGAGAGCCCTTAGCCTTGCCCCCTGCACCCCCCCAGGCGAAGCCCCAGGCCCAGCTGTCCCTTTATACCGGGGCAACTCTTTCCAATGGCGGCATCTGATTCATTGGCAGCGAAGAGGCGCTCATCTCTTCCCTCCAACCGCTCCAACTGCCTTCGAGAGCCTGGGAACCGGAGGAAGGACGTGGACGCCAAAGAGCATGTGGCGGGGGCGCGCTTAGAGGCACGTACAGCGTGGAGAAGCACGTGCAGGGGGCCTGGGGGGCCACGTGACAGGAACGTGGCGCAGGGGTGGATGGGATGGAATGGGATGGGGAGGAGTGGCCGCGTGAGGGCGCAAAGCACATGACGGAGCGCCAGGCGGATACCGCATCCGCTGGCGCTCCTGGCGGGGGCGCTGCGGAGCATCGCGACTTGGCCCCATGCAGGGCAGAGGAAATGCCGTGGGGGCATGCTGGCGGCAACAGGGCCCCCAACTACCTGCTGTTGGGACGGACAAGGCAGTGGTTACTTCTGCCTCCTTCCACAGCCCTCCCTCCTCCCTTGCATTCTGGAGAAACTTAGGCAACACGCAGGGCTTGAAAGTCAGACTGCCCAGTTCCTCAGGAAAAAAGTGATAGCCCTCATCCTGCTGCCTGTGCTGCAGAGAATGGCGCTCACCGACCTCTTATTCGGTGGCTCCTTCCCCTCCGGCCTGGTCACACGCTTCACTCATGCGCTGTGCCCCCTCTCCCAGAGCATTTTCTTGGTTTATGCATGGCCTCCCGAACCTCCTCCCTTAGACAAAGCTCGTCTCCCATTCGTCCACATCTTCCTCCAGCTACATACAGGTGGCCCCACTCCTACTCTTCACAGAAAACTCTCAAAACAGTTGCTGGAAATGCTTCTTTTTCCAGTTACTTGGTCTCCACCTCCTCACCCTCCATTTTCTCTTCATCCCCCAGACCCCTTTTGTCTTCATTGTACCAGACTCTTGTCAGCATTTGCCAAAGTTGACCTCCTGACCCTAAAACACTTTGTTCTCTTGGCTCTGTTCGTTTTCTATGGTGGTAACAAATTAGTACAAAGCCAACAGTTTGAAGCAACATTTATTATCTCGTGGTTCTATAGGTTACATGTCCCTCAGGTCCCACTGGGCTAAAAGCCTAAGTAAGTGGGGCTGCATTCCTCGCTGGAGGCTCTTGGGAAGAATCCACTTCCAGCTCCTCAAGGTTGTTGACAGAATCCAATTCCTTGCCTTTCTTTCTGGCCCTCAGCCAGAAAGCCACCCTTAGCTCCTAGAGACATCTTTCTGTTCCTTGCACTTGGGTCCCTACGCTTCAGTCAGCAACAGCACATCAAATCCTTCTCACGCTGGGATCTCTGTGAAATTGCCACGCGCTGGCTCTCTGAGTCCAGCCAAAGGAAGTGCTCTGCTTTTAAGTGATTATGGAATGAGATTGGGCCCAAACCACTGCTGTGGATTCAGAGTAGAACTGCCCCATAGGGTTTCCAAGGCTGTAAATCTTTATGGAAGCAGACTGCCTCATCTTTCTCCCACTGAGGGGCTGGTGGGTTTGAACCACCAAACTTTCGGTTAGCGGCCAATACCTTAACAACCACTGCACCAAGAGTTCCTTACATTGGGCCTCCCACTCAGATTATTTAATTATATCTGTAAGGTGCCTTTTGCCACATAGTGTAACATATTCAGAGGCTCTGGAGATAATGGCATTGCTGACATCTTGGGGTGGGGGGACGTTCTACCTACCACAGCTTCCTGGGCACCATACTCACATGGCGTCCCTCCCACCTCACTAGCTGTTCCCTCTCAGTCATTCTCCTTTTCCTGACCTCTAAACATTGGCAACCCCAGGGCCCTGCCCTCGGACTACTTGCCTTCCCTCTCTGTTCTCAACCCCTGGCAAATCCCAACTGTTCCCATCGGTTTAAATAGGTGCCACATACCAGGCCAGGCCTTCCCTCAAGCTCTGGAGCTCCTGTGTCCAGTGGCTTACTCCAGTTGTTCTCTAAATGTGAGTACAGACCAGCAGCAAACGTGTCACCTTGGAACTTAACAGAAGTGCAAGTCCTTGGGCCCATCCCTGGCCTCCTGAGACAGAAACTCGAGGGGCGGGACCTGGCAATGGTCTGTTTTAACCAGCCCTTCAGGTGATTCTGCTACCAGCTAAAGTCTGTCAGGGCCACTGGGCTACTCAGTCGCTCCACCTGAATGTCCTCAGGCATGAGACTTTGGATCCCCCACCTCCCTTTCTACCACCATCGTCCTGATATTAGTAATTGGCATCACCACCCATGCAGCTAGGTGCTCCAGCTGTTGAGCAAATGAGGGTCCCTGCACGGTGCTCAGTCAGGCCAAAACAGTTTACACTCCAAGATTGAGAGGAGATAAAATTATTTATTGCAAAGCAGCAGTGCAAGGAGTTAGAGGTAGTTAGTACCCAGATCTTAACTCCATAGTGATACCTCCTCAGAAATCCAAGGAAGGGTCACTATGAGTTGGATCCAACTTGACTGCAGTGACTTTGCATGACATGTTGTTGTTATGTGCCATTGAGTCGGACCCAGCTCATAGCAACCCCTCCTTGGGTTTCCCAGGCGGTATCACTACGGAAGTAGATTGCCCAACCTTCTTTCCGAGGAGTGGCTGGTGGGTTTGAACTGCCAGCTTTCAGGTTAGCAGTCATATTACGGCCATAATATTTATTAACTGCGTAGCAAAACGTCATTGAACTTCCAAATCTTTGAAAGACATTTGCAGTGCAACAAGATATATGGCTTTTATGGCTGTGGGTTTATAGTTCTGTCAAGGTGATTTGCCAGGCCACAATCGTGCAAAAGAATTGAACAGTTTACTATACAAATGAGATGGGAGCTCTGGTAGCATAGTGGCTAAGACACTTGTCTGCTAACCAGACAGCTGGCGGTTCAAACCCACCAGCCACTCCTCGGAAGGAAGGTTGGGCAATCCTACTTCCGTAGTGATACCACCTGGGAAACCCAAGGAGGGGTCGCTATGAGTCGGGTTTGACTCGACGGCACGTAACAACAACAACAACATACAAATGAGATGGGTTAAGCCTTTGCAGGGATCAGACAGTTTACTATGCCAATAAGGTGCCTGTGACCTACCAAGGGGATGGGTCAGTTTATGGTCTTGGTGGGAGGAGTAGGCTTCTAAGAGGACCAATCGCACAGAAATTGAGGACCCTTTCACAACCACCAAGAAGAGAAATCTGAATGCAGTTCATCCTTTAAACCTGAGGTCCCTCTATGGAGAACCTCCTAGATCTAGGACACAGAGGCCGTGACACTGGAGTGGGACCATGAGATGGTGCGAGACAGTACAAGTGATGAGAACCAGGAACAAGGCGGCCACGGTGGGCTTGCTGGCCCCCAGAGCGACAGAGCTGAGTGCCTTCAGGCAGAAAAACTGCAGGTGGAGTGGGGTGTTCTGGCATTTGATGGTGGAACCAAAAGAGCTATAACACTTGGCCAAGCAGGGTCAGCAGCAGAGCCCAGACCTAAGCGGTAGCTGGAAGCAAGCCCCGGCCTGAATGAGGACCAGAGGCAGAGGCCCAAGAAGAGCTGAGAGCTGTCTTGATTAGAAGCTGTCCTGATTGGTGAACTGTACCCTGAGTTGTTTCTGTTCCTTCCAAGTTGATGCTGATCCCGATCAGTAGCCTATTACTTCCCTAATAAGCCACAAAATCGTGCATATGGTGTGTGAGTGCTGTGTGGGTCATTGCAAAAAATTACCAAACCCAGCAGAGAAGTAGACAGTGCCGTGGGAGGGGTGGCTGAGGTCAGAATTGGTTAAAAAAAAAAAAAAAAAAGGTCAGGCAGTGGGAATATGTCTGCCCTCTGGGCTGACTCGACGGCACATAACAACAACAACAACAGCTTCTTCACAGGAATCACCTTTTAAAAGTTGCTCAAGTTAGGCAACTTTTAATGCTACTGCATTACAACATCATATAAGAGAATTCATAATTGTGTAAATAATACTGAGTGAAAGAAGTCAGACACAAAAAATTATGTATTGTGTGGCTCCATTTATATGAAGTTCAAAAACACTCCTGCAGTTTGCAGTAAGGACAGTGGCCATCCTTGGTAGGGGTACTGACTGTGAGGAGACATGGGGGAGACTTGTGGGTGCCAGAAACGTTCTCTGTCTTGTTCTTGAGCATGAGTACACACACATCTCTAAGGGAGACCCTGGGGGTGCAAATGGTTATATACTTGGCTACTAGCCGAAAGGTTGGTGGTTCAAACCCACCCACAGATGACACAGAAGCCAGGCCTGATGATCTGGTTCCCAAAGGTCACAGCCTTGAAAACCCTATGGAGCGGTTCTACTCTGCACGCTCGGGACTTGACAGACACCAACAACAAAAAGACACACGTGTACCTCAACTGTATACTTAAGACTTCTGCACTTTCTATTGGTTGTATGTCAATTACAAATGAAAATAAGTGAATTAAAATACCTTCAAAATTCAAACAAAACAAAACAAAAACAGACTCAGCAAGGATTCTGTCCAAGCACACGTCCCTTGCTTTAAGGTGTGTTGTGAGAGGCCTCGCCGCTCTGTCTCCCCTCCCCCCAATACCTGGCCAAAACAAGCACCTGAATGTTGTCATTATCAGAGCAGAGGCCACCTCCCCAGTTTCCACCTGATTCTGGGTGACCTTGAGGACAAGGGGGCGTTGCTGGGAAAGGAGAAGGGGAGGAGGAAAGGAGAAGGGGAGGAGGAAAGGGCAGAGACTCAGTGGCAGAGCAAGCATCCAGGTGCAGTTCCCAGTCTCCATTCCCTCTGTCTCATCCTAGGAAGAGAAGGGCTGACTCCATCGGGCGAGTGACCTCCGTCAGCGATGGTCTGAGGCCCCGGTGGGAGGCTCCGTGGACCCTGAGCCACCAGGTAGTACAACATCCAGGCTCTGCCTGGCTCTGCTTCAGGCATGGTGCTGCTTCTCTCCTTGACAATCATTTCCCGAGAGGCATGGGGCCTCTTGGGAAATCCGTGAGGATAGAGCCCTCCTAGGTAGCGTAGTGCCTAAGGAACTTGACTGCTGACCAAAAGGCTGGTGGTTCAAACCCACCAGCCACTCCTCAGAAGGAAGCTGG